AAAGAAACCACTCAACTCCATGCCTCAGAATTAAGTGTACTTTTACTAATTACAAACGATGAGAAGCAAAGCTGAGTCTGAGTAAAAAAGCGTGAAAGCAATAGATATCATGTATGATCCAAACCCCTCCCCTGGCACCCCAGTTCATAGTCCAATAATAATTCACCCAACCATCAGGTAGGAGATGTCTTCAAAAAGCATCATCAGGTTGGAATGATGGACAATTGGACTTGGCGGGAAGCTCCCTTCTTCCACATGCGCAGAGAGGTGGTCAGAATAACTCCTAATAACAATCCTCCAGTACATAATGATTCCCCTCCCAAACACCATGCCCCCCTCCCCGTTTCAATGGCAGCCAAAAAGCAGCAGTGAAGCAGAGGCTGACAGATACTTTGTTTCCCACAATGGACTAATGGCTGCAAAAGTTGATAAAGTTAGCAGAGATGGCAAAATTGAGTGCTCTGATTTTAAAAAAAAGAATAAAATTAATTTTGTTTCCATTTGGAAACTGCTTTTGGTCTTTACTCTTGAGGTAGAAAAAATGAAACTTTGATTTTGAACTTTGCTGCTTAGAAAGGTGTGTTGTTATAGATATCTTTTCCTTCTGTGAATGACTTATCACCATCAGTCTATCTCTAAAGGTTCATTTTCTGTTTTAATTAATTGTTCCTTATTATGTTCAGTTTGGTTGCAATCTTCTTCCTTTAATTGTGGTTTCCTATTTTATTGTTTGAGTCAGAATGGCTAGACGTGTCTCTAGACTCTGCTTTTTGATCTGTTTCTTATTATGCTCAGATTGGATACAGCCATTTTTTATTGGAGTTTCTAGACTGTTTACTCAGATTCTGTGAAGGAACATCTATGTTGAACATTCAGATGACATAATCCTAATTAGTAGCTAATAATACACACTTCATTTTTTCTAGTATTTCTAAAAATGAATTGCCATTTCATTATTAAAAAGAACATTTTGCATAATATATCATTAATGGGAAATTCAACACTATAAGTATCTTCATATTTAAGAAGAATTAGTCCATATTGCTGAAATCCTTTGTAGACACACTGCTCTAACTTGACTCATCCAAATAAGCTACTGTAATAGAGGATAGTTGGGGATCAATCTGATATGTAAAATTATAACTGTATTATATGCCAATTTTTAGTTTAAATAAATGGATATATTTTCTGTTTCTGCAGAATCTCAAATTTTGTGAAAGTTAAGTATGATCTGCCTATAGAAAATGGTGAAATTGAATTTTTCCCCTGTAATTTAATTTAATCCCCAAAAAACAAATTAGAGGTTTAACAGCCATTTCACATTCTTCATAAAACCGTTATACTCATAAAACCATGCACTTAGCAGGAAGCTGAAACCTACCATGTTTTTCACAGTCACTGTGCATATATTAGCTATACAAATGTCTCAAGTGCAGAATTAAAATATAATGTGTGAAATGGCCTTGTGTGTTCATTGTGCATGTCTCTTGGTGTATAAACTCACAAACATATTCATGTTTTTTTTTATCATGTAAGATGTTAAGCAGTACATATTCAAGAAGTGTAGTTGTAAATTGCTACAGTATTGTGATGAGCAAACATCATGTATATTATGTGCACATTATGAAGTACTAGTGTGTTCGTATAGACATTGGCAGAGCTACGATTAAGCTCATTATCAATACCACGATGTTCTTTCATTCATGCAACTCTAAAAAAATCATTTTTAGTATTTGATGTTCTTTTCTCCCAAGAACACCTTTGTCCACTTGCATTTGAAATTTAAAACTATTATTCCAACAGCAGTGTTAAACAATGCAAACATCATTATATATGTTATTTATCTGTTAAATAATAACAAGACTGCACTTTGTTCCATAGCTTGTAGAAGTTATTGATTTGCTTGTCATAAATTGATGTACACATAACTGAAAACACCTTTGGGTGGGTAGTGTTGGTGCAAATCATTAATTTGCTATAAAAGATCAGGTTTGTAAATTATTTTTTAAATAACTAAGTACAGAATGATTGAAATGCTGAGAGTAAATATGTAGCAGATAACTTGAAAAGTCTGTTAATATAAAACAAAGATTTTAATTATCCCTGATGAGTGATGCTTAAACTGCTTCCAAATTTATGCCTAATACTTTCAAAATGATCTCAAAAAAATTCATGGCAGAATGATGTTTTATATAACTGCAGAGTGCAGAGGTTTCAAGTGTATTTGAAATCTGCTTCAACTAGCAAGGATTAATTTAAATATATGTTAAATAAAGAAATGAAAATCTTAGTGGCAGAATGTTTAAGTAGTAGAACACCGATCAGATAAAAAGAGATAACATATAAATAGAGCATAAAACTGCTAAAACTTTTTGGCAAAGTTTTATTTTTCCTATTATAAAAAAAAGAGAAATTCTTACTGCTTTTTATGGCTATGTATTTTTAAGGATCTATTAACAAATTACAAAATTACAAGTGATTTTTATTTATTAATAAACATGTGTTTACTACTTAAGTACAACCACAATCTTAGCATATTGAGTTACAGTTACTGAAATGTTAATGTTAGAAATAAATTTGGCCAATACAAGTGTTCAAGGACAGTGGCAATAAGAAAAGGAATTCAATTTCAAGAAATGAATACAGTATGGTGAATATCATGCAAAAGTACTTCGGATACCTTGACTTAGTTACTGCTTTCTTATCTAACATATTATTGATATTAATGTATTTATTTTAAACCTGAGGCATCTACTACTAAAACAAAATTGTCGTTTAAAAATAATTGACACAAATAATTTACAAAAAAGAGTGGCATGTGGATATACTGTTCTTTCAAGGCATAAAGTTGGGAGTATTAGTTTGAATTTAGGAGAAAGCCCAGTAGAAAGCCCAAGTAGAAAAAAGGGTTTAGAAAGAAACTCTTGCAGCTCTGAATGCCTAGATCTATTTATATGGGGCATACTTAGATTCTAAACTGTTTAGTCCTTAAATAGTTGACACATTTGTGCCTACAATTAATGCAGATATTTTTTAGCAGGGTAATAATTTAATCACAGTATTCCATCTATGCTAATGGATGTTGCAGACATTTTTCAAAGGTAAACTCATGTATAAGGCCTTAAACTATCAAACAAGATACCACAATGAAGCAATATATTTAATGGTAGTTAAATTCAACTACCAGTAACAGGATCAATCAGATATTACGTAAAAATGAAATTATTTGAAGTTCATGTTACAAAATAAGAATTGTATGTAAATAAATTATAAATTACAGCTTTTTGACAACAACATCCTCTTTTTCCAGCGGTTCTGAGAGTATGTGTTGATGGAGGTGCTAATCATTTGTACTGTATCACCAATGGAAACCGTGACAGGTATGCTTATAATAAAATGTTCTAATAATTTTGCATATTTTATCTTCACAAAGCATGTTGATTAATTTTTTTTTCATTATCTAGTTTGTACATAAAAACATATGGGATTACTTATGAAGTACCTTGAGGTCATTGTGTTTTCTCATTTCTATAAGAAAAAATACTGATGTGAAGCCATGGGCTGTAGAAACACAAATAATAATATCACAAGATAGAAAGCTTTACAATTCAACATAGAAATATCTTTTTATATTGAAGCCCTATAATTCAAGTTTTAATATTACATTTCTTCACCTTATTCTATTAATTGAATTTAATAGATACTGAAGTGAGACTTGGAAAGACTTTGTTTAATACAAGGATGCATGGTATAATAAAAAGCATACATCGGAACACAAATATTACTGATTGTTTTTGAAGATGCTTTTTCATCTTTAAGCGTTGGTAAAGGTCTTGTGATGACTCTCCTGGATGCTTTCCAGTTACTTCTTCAGATGTCAGTTGAGGGGAGGATGAATCAGTTTCTAGTAGGTCAGAAGGGGACTTGATCACTGACTCCAAGCTGTCTGAAAGTGATTTGGCTGAAGCACAGCTGCATCAGGACAGCCTTGAGGCATCAGATGGAGAAAGCATTCAGTTACAGCCGATCAGGGATAAAGAAGAGGAACTGCCTTCTGTATCTGATACAAGAACACACAGGGCAGAGAAAAGACATGACCAAGTTTACTCACACAGATAAAGCTTTTTTGATGGGCTGCACTAGAAGCTGGCTATTTACCACAGCAGACAGATGGAGACAATTCTGGGGGCAACATGTTCATTTCCTAGCTGTATGTTTTTTTGGTCATTGTGATTCCTGCCTTGCTTTGGATTGACACGGTGCCTTGACTTGGATCGTGCCTTGTGAACCATGGACTTTTCTTGCCTCGTGAACTCAAAGGTACTATATCAAAAGGCAATTGGACTTTCTGTTTTTTCTTTGAAGATGTTTTGCTTCTCATCCAAGAAACTTCTTTAGTTGATTGGATGATGGGGAATGGAAGGATTTATATTCCTTGCAGACAGCTAGTCACTTGCATTCTATTAGCAAGTTATTAAGGTCACCTGGAGCTTTATTCGTGTCATCAGGGTGACCTGAGTTGTGCAAATAGGTGTGGAGCCTATTGAAAGGACTGTATTGTAGACCCTGATGACACAGATATACCGCGTGAATATATGACAAAATTATATCATCTTGGCAGGTGTGAAGGGCAATACAACTACCAAAATACTCCAATAATGACAGCTATATTTTGCTCAGGAGAAGTCAATAATCCTGTATTTTTTTAAATCACATCTATATACAGTATAAAGATATTGATGATACAAAGTCCAATAATAGACTCATATGACAGATTCCATTCAACATGCTATTGAAGAAGAGCTTTCAAAGTACTATCAATGTTAATAATATGGGTAGATTAAAGCCTTCAGCTCATCTAATGCAAAATGCAAATGCAAAAACAAAAAAAGATAGAAATATATGTTTGTAATTCTTTGTACCCAAATCTATCTTTCCCATGTATTACATGGTACCCATCCAATCCCAGAGAATTCAGATGGTTTAAAGCAGCTGTGTCAAATTCAATTTCATTGAGGGCCACATCAGGGTTGCGTTTGACCTTGGGGGGCTGGGGTAGGTATGGTCTGCTCGATATCACTCGTGTTGGGAGCACCTGTGGTGGCCTGGGAGCTCTGCCAGTGAAAATGGATTCCTGAGCTTCATCTTTGGCTGCAACCCTCTGCCAGTGAAAAAAGAGCTCAGGAGGGCTGCACGTGGCTGGAGGCTAAAACATATGAAGAACACTTGCAGGTATTGGATAGTGACTAAGCAGTGTTCCAATATTTGAGGAGCTTCCACTAAGATGAGAGGGTCAACCTACTTTCCAAAGCAAGACAAGAAACAATGGATGGAAACTGAATTGAATTGAATTTATTTAGCTTGTATGCCGCCCACTCTCGGAAGACCCTACAAATAAGAAGGGAAGGGGAATACAAGAAATAAAACACAACAATTTAAAAAATTCAACAACATTCATAACTTAGAATGGGGCTGGATAATTCAACAGCTCCAGGCCTGCCGGAACAGCCAGGTCTTGGTCGCTTTGCGGAAGGCTGGAAGGATAGTAAGGATCCGGATCTCAACGGGGAGATCGTTCCATAGGGCCGGAGCAGCTACAGAGAAGGCCCTCCCCCAGGGGGTTGCCAGCCGACATTGGCCGGCAGATGGAATCCGAAACTAATCAAGGAGAGAAGCATCCTAGAACTAATGAGAAATTTCCTAATAATGAGAACAAAACCATGGAATGACTTGACTTTAGAAGTTATGGGTGCGCAATTACTGGAGAAGAGATTGGACAGTCATTTCTCCGAAATAGTATAGGGTGTCCTGCTTGATCAGGGAGTTGGACTAGATGACTTCTAAGGTCCCTTCCAACGCTACTATTCTGTATATATATTCTATGAATTGATAGAATGTTTCTGGTTTGAATGAAATCTGCCTATATTGTCAATTCAATTTTGTGTCTGTTGTTATTTCCTGCTTTATTATTTCTTCTACTTTAGGTGATTTTTTGATTAGGTATTCTCTGGACTTCTTGTTTTTAAGCTTCTTTTTTTTTAATCAATTCTAGATTAGATATGATCTTAGCATAATGATCTTATATTCCAGTCTGTTTTCCATTTTGGTACACTGTTTGGCATTTTTCTTTCTTCATTGGTTGTGCATTCCATGTATTCAGTTGTAACTGCAGCCATGTTGTACATTAGTTTGTTTGTTTCCTAGTGTTACTTATATTTGATATTACCGTATTGGCATCTTTTGATATTTGTGATAGCTATTTTTTTTAATTGAAAATTTTAAAAAGCTTTTACAAATATTTACCTCCCTTCCCCACCCTTTCCACCCAAGCCCATCTCCCCCCACCCTCCCCCCCAACTTCCCATTTGTGCTTTAACTCCTCTTTTGTTAAGCTAACTATAAACAAATTAAATAGCAATAGCAATAGCAGTTAGACTTATATACCTCTTCATAGGGCTTTCAGCCCTCTCTAAGCGGTTTACAGAGTCAGCATATTGCCCCCAACAACAATCTGGGTCCTCATTTTACCCACCTCGGAAGGATGGAAGGCTGAGTCAACCCTGAGCCGGTGAGATTTGAACAGCTGAACTGCAGAACTGCAGTCAGCTGAAGTAGCCTGCAGTGCTGCATTTAACCACCGTGCCACCTCGGCTCATTCCTTGCTTTTTCAGTCATAAGCTATCTGGAATTTTTTAGTCCTGTATTTATTTTGAATATAGTCAATCTATCTTCTCCACTCCAGTTTATATTTCTCATCTGAATGATCCTTAAGATATGCTGATATTTTAGCCATCTCTGCTAAGTTTGTGACTTTTAATGTCCATTCTTGAATAGTAGGCAAATCTTCCTTCTTCCAGTATTGCGCCACCAACCGTCTCGCTGCCATTGTTAGGTTCAAAATCAGATTAGTCTCTATAACAGTACAATCAGTAATTATACCTGACAAGAATAACTGAGGGATAAACTTTATCCTCTTTTAAAAAATATTTTGCATAATACACCATATTTTTATCCAAAATGCTTTAACCTTTTTGCAAGTCCACCATATATGGTAATATGTAGCATCAATACAATCACATCTCCAGCATTTAGGTTGTAAATTCGGATACATGCAAGCCAATTTTTTAGGATCTAAGTGCCATCTATAAAACATCTTATAAAAGTTCTCTCTCAGGTTTTGGGCTTGTGTAAATTTTACATTTCTTACCCATATCTTTTCCCAAGTGTCCAACATTATTGTTTCTTCAAAATTTTGTGCCCACTTTATCATACAGTCTTTAAATAATTCTGTTTCAGAATCCATTTCTATTAGAATGCACTCTTTTTATGTGCATTCGACTTTGATCCCTAATTTGTTTTAGTAGATTGTCCTCATTTTGCATGATACCAATTTTCTGATCTTTTTTCCATCTGGCCAGCAACTGTCCATACTGAAACCATGTTTGGATTACCTTCTTCCCTTTTAATACGTTCAAGGGTTTTAACTGAAATACACCTCTTTCTATAGTAAGAAGCTGTCTATATGTAGTTACATCATGTTTTTGTGCTATACTTACGTTCTCTATTGCATGTCTGGGAATTGCCCAGATAGGTATGTTATCATTTAATTTATATCGATATTTTTTCCAGACACGCAATAAAGCATTGCTTAATATATGACTTTTGAATGTCTTATCCACCTTCTTGTCGTATATCAAATAAGCATGCCAGCCGTATATCAAGTCATGTCCCTCGATATTCAATAACCTATCCTCTGTTGAATTAATCCAGTCACTATTGATAAAACTACTGCTTCATAGTATAGTTTTAAATTTGGCATTTTCAAGCCTCCTTTCTCACGTACATCTTGCATTATTTTAAATTTTATTCTCGTTTTTTTTCCTGCCCAAACAAATTTGTTAATACCCTTCTGCCATTCAAGCAAATTTGCATATTTTTAAAGTATTGGTATCATTTGAAATAGCTAGCTGTGCTAGCTATTTTTTTTAACAGGCTTAAATCATATTCTGTATTGTTCAACAGTTATTTATGTTAATTCCTTTTATATTGTTGTTACATAGAAGGTTTTGTTCTTTCTGTAGAAAAGATGGTGGTTTTTCTTTAATTTCTCTGTAAAAATAGGATAAGTTAAGTACATTGACATATAGTGGAAATACACCAAGGGGAGGAGGAGTGGGATAGAAGAAAGATGGGTAGAGAGGGATGGGAGAGAGGGTGGGGAAGTAGGCTAGAGGGGGATGATGGAGGGAATATAGAAAGTTGGAGGGGGGTGGAAAAAAGAGGTGTATGGAGAGTGGAAGAGGTATATTGGGTTTCTATTTTTTGGGATATTGTTGACAAGACAAATTGCTGTGATTATTGTTTAATGTTGTATGGCGTT